CTAAAGAAAACCAAGAGGCTCTAAGTCCCTATCAAAAGACAGAGCTGACTCAAATCAAACGCTGTTAGGACTCCTAAATCCCTATTTATTACAAGTACAATGGTGTATCAGGGAGAGAAATACTCGGTACCTACTAATACTGCTCTATGGTTTGTAAGCCACCTGCAGCCTGGCCCGCACCAGTTGGCGATTCCAGAGGGCTGGGATGGGAATAACATGGGAAATGGCAAAGTCGGACGATTTACCCCTAAATTATGCAGTCCCGGCGCAAGCTCACGGGCAGGGTGTGCGGCCCGGCCGCTCCGTCCTGCGGCACCATACGATGCAGAAATGCGACAGTATTGCTACATATATTCTGAAACCGTGATTTATGGAACAGTTAAAGGTTGAAGCATTTCAAAACACGGCACGAGCCCTGAATCCACCCCACTGATCCTTCCAGTGACTTTAATTCTCTTTTATTTTTTCTTTGTGCAACCAGAAGTCCGCGTTTATTTTTTTACCGGTATTTCTGCCTCCTTCAGCTCCAGACCAAAGGCCGCTCCCGTCACATCACTGCAACCGGAAGACGTGCTAAGAGTATACCATGAAATAAATATGTTTGTTGGGTTTTATTATTTGCTCGCCATCTGGTTCCTGACGCTGGGGCCAGTGGGTCCCCACAGGACGCCAGAGCCACACCTGAGTAACTGGGCTCTTCACCAAGGACGTTGCAGATCCGAGCACGATTCCACCGCCCTTTTCAGGCGGACACAGAAAATAACGTGCTTGAAAAACAAGCCAGGAGTGCTGGCTGAAAGCACTAGCTCCCCCCTTAAACTCTGCAAGCTGAAGGACTTTGATGAGTGTCAAAGCCTCTCCTGTTAAATATGCCACAAATTACCATGAGCAAAGATTCGGGGGGGAACCCCCCTATGGCCCAGGCAGGGGCACGCCGTTGGGGCACGGCAGCAAACACTGCGATCCCCCTGCGCTGTGTTTCTGGGACGGGCAAGGAAACACTTTATCTTCATGGCATTGATGCTCTTCAAGTCAATTTTACCAAAAAAGAAATAAACAAAAAAAAAAAAAAAAAAAAAAACAAAAAAGATAAAAAATAAGAGAGCAGCTTTAGAAAATTGGCTGTACTAGAAGGTTGCCTGATGACTGCGTGCGGAAGCCGTGTTATTTTACCAGATCCTCTGAACTGGCTGTCAAGCCAGGAGAGGCGGCAGAGAAGCCAAGCAGCACATCTAGCGCTGGGGGAAGGTTTCTCCTAAAACTGCTACTTGGCTCAGCACACATCTCCCCACATGGGAATGAAGACCTCCAAGTGAAGTTAGCCATTTTCACAGGGAAACCCAAGGGCCGGTGTCCAACTTTAAACTCAGAAAATAGTTCCCAGGCAGGGCAGGATAGGCTGGAAGAGTGGGCTAACAAGAACCTCATGAAGTTCAGCACGGATAAATGTGAGGTCTTGCACCCGGGACAACACAACCCAGGAGTGCAGCACAGGCTGGGATCCACCCGGCTGGGGAGCAGCTCTGGGGGAAGGGACCTGGGGGTCCTGGTGGCCAACAAGCTCCATAGGAGTGAGCAGGGTGCTGCTGTGGCCAAGGCCAGCAGGGTGCTGGGGGGCATCACCAAGGGCATCACCAGCAGGGATAAAGGAGTCATCATCCCACTCTGCTCAGCGCTGGCCAGGCCCCACCTGGAATGCTGTGCCCAGTTCTGGTGCCCGCTGTACAAAAAAGCTGTGGGCAGGCTGGGGGGGTCCAGAGCAGGGTCACCAGGATGCTCCAAGGGCTGGGAAGCCTCTTTCAGCCG